TGCTTATTCTGTGACTTGCATTTTCCCCTCATCACGTTTTGAAAGCATCCAGCATGCAGGTCGATGTGGTTTATTAACTTTAACTTCTGCACTCAGCACGCTCCTCCTCTCTCCCGCTGATAGGCATCAGGCTTGCCTAGTGTAGCTGGTCCAAGCCAGGCCATGGTGAGCTTCCCCAGTTGTCTCTCGGCGCTCTCATGCAGAGTGGATGTGAAGAGTGGCAGACCACATGCGTTTTTAAGTTCTCTTGACATTGCTGACTATTTTCCAAAGCAGTTCTGCCCATCTACACCCGGAGCTGCTGTTTCTGAGAGTTACTGTTTCCCCACGTCATCAACACACGTCTCACCTTGAGACCTTTCATTCTTGTCATTCGTTGTGTGTGAAATATTATCTCATTGTTTCCTCCTTCTTAAATTGCCACCTATCTCTTGCTTTTGTGGCTATCCTGTAATGCGTTCAACCATTCCCCTACTGTAGACAGTCCGCTTCCTTCCGGTGTGTGTTCACTGTTGCTATTACAAATAGGGTTGCAAGAGGCGACCTTGTGTGAACATTCTGATGTGCCAGTGCTTTGATTCCTGGCAGTCCACTTCTACAACTTGGGTTGCCGGGTCAAATCGGCATTTTGTGTTTTAAGAAATATTGACAAAAATCTTTTCGTAAAACATTGTAGTAATTTTCAGTTCCACTAATTGTATATAAAAAGATATGTAGGGACCAGCAGATGGTGGAATGGTTTCACCACTGGACTCGCATGTGGCCGACCGCAGATCAAGTCCTGGAGCCGGCAGCTTAAAACTCATGCTGAGTGTGTGTGCATGTGTGCCCAAAATCTCAAGAGGAGAAACAGAAGAAAGGATTGTGGCATGGCCATCCCCCATAGGGGATCATTTCTCAGTTTCTGTCTCTCTGTCTCTGTCTCTCGGGTGAGCTCACATGCCCTATAGTTAAAATTTTAAAAAGACATGTTTACTCACACCTTGGCCAGTACCTTTCTCTCTGTCCATTATCAATAAATATCTAGTTGTGCCCTTTTTCTGCCTAGTACTTACTCAGGAAATGAACTTTTTTTCAGTTTTATAAGTTTTTCTTTTAGTTCTTCAATAGTTTACGTCCTCGTACATTCTTCTTTCTCATTTTGGAACTCTTCCTCTTTGCATATTAAATCTTCTGTATCTTGGGACCAGCAGATGGCATAATGATTATGTTGCTGGACTTCCACATGGCTGAACATGGTTTGTGTCCCAGACCCAGCAGCTTAAATCTCATACCAGGCGTGTGTGCATGCATGCCTAAGATCCCAAGAGGAGAATGGAGGAGAAGGGACTGTGGTGTGGCTATTCCCCGGTGCGGGGGGCGGTTGTGATTACTCCCTTTCTGTCTCTCTGTCTCTCTCTCTGTTTATCCAGTGAGCACACACCCTATAGCAAAAATCTCTCTAAAAAATAATCTTCTGTATCTTACCTTCATGTCGCTCATAATTTCATTCACGAGGCCCATTTCTTTGTGGTTTTGCTGTATGTTGTGTTACATTTTCTTCGGTTTTGCTCGAAGCACTTCCTGGCCTATGATAGGTTTTCGATAATTAGTTATTGAATGAACAATTTTGTTTTCCAGGCAGCCAATTACATCTCACAATGACTGTTCTCTTTTTCATTTTTCTGCTAAGTTTTAACTCAGAAATCATGTTTTCATGGTTGTAGAAAGTCTCTCTACATACTAATTGCTCTGATTGCATCTCCTTAAGAGTTCTCTCTTTCTTAATTATTTGTGTAGTTTTAGTTTTTTTGGGATTTTTTTGCCATAGGGCACATGCACTTGCCAGAGAGGAGAGAGAAAGTGAAAGAGAGACAGAGAAAGGGAAAGTGAGAAATCTCCTGGGGGGATGGCCACACCACAGTCCCTTCTCTTTCATTCTCCTCTCAGGATTTTGGTCATGCGTGCACACATTCCCTGCGTGATTGTCCATTCACCAGGTCCAGAGCTCAGCCCATGGTCAGCCATGTGGGAATCCAGCTGCCTTAACCACCATGCCACCTGCTGGCCCCTCTCTCTTTATTTAAAAAATACATCACATGTCTTTCCTGTTTCCTTACTTCTTCCTGGTTGTTTCACGTGGTCTTCCTCAGTAGATTGTGATTTTCTTCTTTACCTACTTATGCCCATGGGAATGAAGGCTTTGGCTCCTGTGCGGTCAGCCTGTCAGAGTCTCTCAAGCAATGGTGACCTGCAGTGGGAGGGGTACAGGTGTTTAGTTTCCAGGGGCCAATAGTTTCCAGGGGCCAATACCTGTCTCTGCGCTGGGAGGCCATTGTCTCTAACCACCCATTTCTGCCTATCAGTGCTGCCACCCTCAGGAGGCTGGGCCAGGGCACGGGGAAGGAAGGTCCAGTCATTTCTGTGCTGAGAAACAATGTCCTGCTTCCCTCCAAGTAAACTCTTCACTACAGAAATTGTCAGTGCCCTTTGCCAGCACGTATGTCTTCACCAGGCTCACGGAAAATCCAGCTCCACTGAACTCTTACAACTACCTAGAGTCCTCAACTGCCCATTGATGAGAAAACTGTTAGTCATTTTTAAACTCACGTGACTAATGGTGGCCAATTGATGGTTCCTATGAGGGGGCTACCAAAGGAGCGGCTCAATTTTAGACATCGATGAGCTGCCTCAAGTTATTTTCAAAACAAAGGAAAAACATTTCTACACTGGTCTACCTTCTTATCTTTGTTAATTACTAACACTGGTGTTAGTCCGAACAACAGAAGTAGAAGGTTTTCTTCTATTATCACTTTCAGGGAGGTAGAATGCTGTAAGTAAACCAACAGTGAGGAGCAGCAGGTGCTCCATTGCAGAAAACATTTTCCTACCCTCGGCTGCCAGGTGACTGGTCCCAGCTCCCGCTCACCTCCTCAAATCCTGATAAGACGCTCACCAGGTCAACAGGACCCCACGAAAACCAGTGGGGATTTTTGTGACAATAGAAGGACAAGGGCTCAAGATTTTTTAAGGACCTAAAAACTCAACATTTTAGTTTCTTCTTGAAAGAGAGATAAAAAGGAGAATTAGGACTCTACATGAAAAAGCCAAAATTTCAGAAAGTAACTTGCCTTTCAAATGAACACGAGATCATTTCCCCTGCCCGATGAAACTAACAGGATATTTTCTTTTCTTTTGTTTTTCTTTCAAGGCAGACTTTTTTTTTGTCTTTTGTTTTGTTTTGTTTTTAGGTTTTGGCCATAGGGCATTTGCACTCCTCAGAGAAACAGAGCAAGACAGTGGAAGGGAAAGTGAGAAATCACCTCTGGGGGGACGACGGCCATACCGCAGTCCCTTCTCCATTCTCCTCCTTGCACTTTGCACATGCATGCAGATGCACCCCAGGGTGATTTTTCAAACTGCCAGATCTAGGACTCGAACCTCAACTGGCCATGTGGGAGTCCAGTGCCTTAACCAGCATACCGCCTGCTGGCCCTTCAAAGCAGACTTTTTATGTTTATTTACTTATTACTTCCATGGGCAAGAGAGAGAACACCTTCAACAGGGTTTGGGCTCCACAATCCACCCCCAGCTCCAGCTGGACCCAGAGCATGGGCTCACGTGTGCTCAGAGTACTCGGGAGGTCTTCAGATATGAACTCGGAAACTTCCCGTGTGCATCAGCCTCGCAGGTAGAGTTTGCGGCTGTGCCATCATCCAGCCCCTATTTTGTTTTCACAGTTTCAGTTTGGTGAGTCAGTAAACAAAACATAAAGTAAAATAAAATATAAACGTCCAGTGCTGCAGGGTGAGTTTCAAGGACACCAAGGTCTAAAACATGTTTACTGGATGTAGTTCGTGGCTTATCTTTGGAGGGATCGTTTTTCTTTTGTTTGTTTGTTTGTTTGTTTTTAGAGAGAGATATTTTTGCTATAGGGCACATGCCCTTACTGGAGAGAAAGAAAGTGAGAAATCATTCCCCGCCCCCCCCCCACGGGAATGGCCACACTGCAATCCTTTCTCCTCCATTTTCCTCTCAGAAAATTGGGCATGCACACACACACACGCCTGGCATGTGTTTCAAGCCTCTGGGTCTGGGACTCAAACCATGGTTGGCCATGGTTGACCACTACACCACCTGCTGGCCCCGGGAGGAGCTGTTCTGATGGTAATGATCTGCAAACCTGCTACTGACTAACAGGTTGGAGAGGGCTGCCTCCTGCAGTCTGTACCAGAAGGGCCTTGCCGAGTCCCCTGCTGCATCACGTCCCTCTTGTAAAGGCAAGAGAACTTCCCACCTTCCTCAGCCACCATATGCAGAACGAGCACACAGTCCAGGGCTGTGCGCTGACCACACTGGTGGGATGTGGGGCAGACTGGGTGTGGCTGGGCAGCCTTACCACTTCTGCCTCCAGGGACTGGCGAGCAGCCTCTCTGTGGGAGGCACTGCTGTTTATCGGGGCCTCCAATGAGTGAGGTCACCTGGGACTTCTACTTAACTCCTTCTTATGCATGGTACATACCTATACCATTCACCACCCCTTTGCTGTAAGCAGAACCTCAGGTCTCTCTTTTTTTTTTTTTTTTTTTTTTGAGAGTTTTTTTTGCTATAGGACACATGCGCTCGCCAGACAGACAGAGAGAGACAGAGAGATAGAAAGCGAGAAATCACCCCCCAGGGGGAGATGACCATGCCGCAATCCCTTCTCCTTCATTCTCCTCATGGGATCTTGGGCACGCACGCACAAATGCCTGGCGTGAGTTTAAGCCACCGGGTCCGGGACTCGAACCACAGTTTACTACGTGGGAGTACAGCGACATAGCCATTACACTAACTGCTGGTCCCAGAATCTCAGGTCTCTTTGAGAGGTCCCAATACCTCACTTGCTGAAGTGTCAGCCATGATGTGTTGACCTCAACCCCCACATGGAACATTGTCAAGCGACACAGCAGCCTTCAGCAGAGGAAGCTGACCCAAAGCCCACAATTTATCCCAGTTTTCTTCTCCTTTCTCATGCTCAGATGGATGGAGTGGAACCCTGGCTTCCCCTTGAGTATTGATGCCAAGTGCCACAAGGATTTACCCCGCGACATCCAGTTTGATAGTGAGAAGGGAGTGGACTTCGTTCTGAACTACTCCAAAGCGTAAGTTTTCCAGAACTTAAGGACACTAGGCAGTGCCCTCAGTGGCTGGGCCTGGGATGGGACCCTCACTCCTTTCTTCATGGACTCTTTGGGTTCAGGGAGCAGCCCAGCAAGCAGCTATTCCCAAACACAGTGGAGTTCACCTTGACCTTGGGGAAAATTCTCAATGCACAACCGCAAGGTGACCCACAACTACACAAAATTATAAAATTACAGCTATAGTTGTGTTTTCAGCTGAAGGCAGGGGTCTTTACTTGGAATGCCCCACTCCTACCTACACCTCATCCCTGTATCCTTGTATGGCCAATTCAAGGGTAGACGATATCCAGGCTGTCACCAAGATGGCAGACTGCAGTGACAGTAGCCAACATGCTGGTGCTGGTCCTCTGGTACTCATCACAACAGCCCCATGAGGCCGGCACAGTTATTGCCTCCATTATGTAGCTGAGGACCCAGAGGAGTCAGGAGGCTCTGGTAAATCCTGAATCCATGATTCTGAAGCCCAACTGAGCCTTAGAATCTCCTAGGGAGCTTTAGTACCTCCCAGTGCCAGGCTGACCCCTCCGCCATGGGAGAGGGTCTCTGAGAGTGGGACCCTGGCCTCGAGTCTGCACTGCCAGCAGGCGAAGGACCGAGAGCTCCGAAGTCAGTCGGTCTTCCTGTAGGGTACTTCCCAGGTAAGACGTGTAGCAATCCTGGGAAGTTGGTGTTAATACTAATGTTTCTAGGTGAGGAAACCGAGGCTCTGTTGCGTTGAGGGTAAGACATTTGTATAAAGTCATTTAGGCAGAAATTGGCAAAGCCAGGATTAAATCCAAATCTGTTTGGATCCAAAGGCAGAAAGCTTTTCTTGCTACAATCAAGATGAGCTAGAGAGGAAGATGAAAGCCAGACACCTAGATTCATAGTGCAGTAGTACCCAACATCTGGCTCCCTGGACACATCTCAGCAATTAAGTGTCTCAGTTCCCCCGGGAGAGCCCTGTGGCAGACCTCAGACCTGGGTGGGACACAGGATAGGAAGCCCTTATGAAAGGAGCTGTTTGGACAGAGGAGGATGAAGATACAGACGCAGTGAGATCAAAGGAGATGCTACTGCTCCGGGAAGTGATGGTCCCTGAGCTTAATGATGGCGGAAGGAGGGAGGGCAGGCTGGTTGGGGGAGGAGGGACAGACAAACGGATGGTGGAGGGATGGATAGTGAATGGACAGAGGAAGGAAGGAAGAGTGGGTGGACGGAGCCAGGACGGCATAGGTGGAGGGAGATGGGAAGGGAAGATGAATGGTGGAGGGAGGGCTGGGGTGACTGGGGAGAGAGGGGAGGGAGGGAGGAGGGAGGGGTGACGGGGTAGGTGGCTGGCAGCATGAAGGCCAGGCTGTACCTGCCTCGTGTCTGCCTCGTCCCCTAAGGTCGTTGTCATCGTCGTGACAGGCACGAGCTGCCACGGGGCAGGTACTCAGCATGCTCTGCCGTTGTGAACAGTGTGGCCGGCAACCACTCAGGGCCCTTTGCTGCGGCCTCGCAGGCCCTCACTGTCCCATGGGGAAAGAACCCACACTCCCCACGGGTGCCATCTCCTCAGGTACCCCGGGGGGCTAACCGCAGCCTAGGTCCCGGCACTCGGTCCTGCTCCTCGGGTCTCCGCAGTCCGGGCACGGGTATATTTTCGAGGCTCCTGGGGGATTCCAGTGTGCAGCTGGGGTTGTAATCGCTGTCCCCAACGCCTCCCTGGGCCTCACCCCTGCCCACCGCTCTGGGGTACAGTCTGTCTGCTGAAGTCTCAGGACTGTCCCCCATCTGACCCAGGTCAGGCCAAGGCCTTCTCCACCCTGGCTGATGGTGAAGGGAAGGCAGGAGGGCTGGACAGAGGGACAGAGGCGGGAGAGGGGCCAGTGGAGAGTGACTGGATGGATGGGCGAGGGAGGGCCCCACCTCACAGCACCTGGGAGGCTCGTGCTCAGGCGTGGTTGTGAGCCCTGGTGTCTGCCCAGTAGTGGCGACACACCCGTGGACCTGCCCGCCCCCCGGCCCCCTCTCTCCTCACACGCACAGGACTCCAGCCATGTGGCTCCAGGGTGGTTTCCGAGGTGTCTTCGTCCCTCTCGTCATTATTCTTGCTATTTCCTCTGCCTGGACACCCTCCGCACCGCTTTGCTGGGACATGGGTGAGGTGGCCCTTTTCTCAGAAGCGTTGAGAAGCTCCTGGGCCTGGAGAAGGTCTCCACCTCGTGCCCCCACACCCCCGTCCTGCCCACACATACGCCCGCCTCTCCAGGGACCCTGCGGCTGCCTTTCTCAGTCCCTTAGTGTCTCAGTAACAATACCCGAGACGGCGATTTCTGAAGAAAGGTCTGTTTGGCTCACCATTCTGGTGGCTGGGCCGGCCGAAAGCCCGGAGAGATCAGCAGGGGTGTGTAGAGAGAGAGACCTGCAGGGGTGGTAGACTTGCTTTATAACAGCCCGCTCCCCTGGGAACTAATTAGAGAACTGAGCCAGCTCCATCCATTCTGGAGGGACCGGCCCCGCCCCTCTCCCAGCACTGCCACTGCCAATCAATTACAGCACTGTGGGGACCCAAGCGCCTCTGCATCCAAGTCCGCCCCGTCGGGCCCTCAGGCAGCAGGCTATCTGGCAGGAACAGAGCAGAGAGCTCCTGAGGGGGCCCTTCGCCCCCCACGACCCCCCAGTGCTGCACAGCTGGGCAGACACCTGAGCAGCACCTCTGAGCCCACAGGGACTGAGACCCCTGAGGCCTAAGGAAGAGGGAGACTCAGCCCTGCACGAGAGGAGTGGCACTGGGGTAAGGGGCTGGGACAGGGCCTCTGGGGAGGGGAGAGACCTGGGGAGGACTCGCAGCCGGCAGCCGGTGTAGGTGAGCCAGGGGAGTTGTCTGGCTTCTCTAAGTCCCAGAGTTTTATCCGGAAAATGAGACCACAGCTCGTGCCCATGGTTGTCATGAGAATAAAATGGGGCCACTCCTGCCAGCCCCAGGAGAGAAGACCTCACAAACGCGCTCTGGTTATCACCCAATCAGCAAGCGAGTCAGACCCGCCAGGACCACTTCTCCATCTTCACACACTGTCGAGGGGCTCCTGGGGGGACCCTCGCTCTGCCTGGGTGTCAGCTGACTTCTGGGGTCCAGGAGGCTTTGTAGCCAAGGGCCACCTGGCCTGGCATTCATGGGTGGGGCCCAGGGAGTGGAAAGGATGCTGCGCTGGGAGATGATCATTCGAACAGCGGCCAGAGCCAAGAGGTTGTGAAATTTCCTAGTAACCCAGTGTCATCCGTCCGAGGAGGAGCAGTCGATGCGTTTTGTCCCCACTCGCTGTGTGAGGCCGATAAAGGAAATCCTCTTCAAAGGAAATTGAGAAACAGCTTCCTTCCCAGTTGGGCAGGCCAAGGCCGAATGTGACTCAGTCCTGAAGAGGTGACCAGGGCACCCTGACACTCATACCCCCTGCACAGTCCTGTCAGATGAGGGAGGGGCAGCCTTGAAGGAGCTTGTGTGGAGCATCCTTCTCCCCGGGGGCCATGAGGCCACCCCAGAACTTCTTTCTGGAAAGGCAGCATTGGAAAGGCTACTGCGAGGCCCGGTGGACACAGTGGCACTAGTAGCCTGAACCTCTCAGGTCCTGGGAAAAGGGGACATGCGAGTGCCGTGACAAGTGGTGATGGAGTCTGCCACATCGTGGGCCTCGTGGTCAGACGAGAGCCCAGGTGGGGAAGAGACTGGCGAAGCCTGGCCAGGAGCAGAGAGACTGCAGGGTGAGGGGGTGGGCTCAGGCCCAGGCTCAGGGTGGTAGGGCTTCAGGCTTGCAGGGATTGAGCAGGATGGAGTCTGGCGAGGCAGGGAAGTCCGGCCAGGGCCGCTGGGGGCAGTCAAGAAGGGAGGCTCAAGCACACGTGGGCATGCGGATCGCCTGGGACATGCTGGAAGCCCGGGCGCCGATCTGTGTGTCTGAGCAATGCCCACGGTTACACCCCACGGGCAGAAAACTGAAACCTGTGGCCAAGGCCACCAAAAAGGCCTTCCCCATGAACTTCTGGCTCCAGACGGTTTGGGTTCCACCCCACTTCTGGGTAACTCCGAGGACTCGCTTCCTGAGCCACTCATTCTGCCTGGATCAGGGCCAGCCCCTCAGTAAGCTTTGCCCCATCCCGAACAGCCAAGCCATGAGGTGGAAAATGGAGAAGCTGTTAGGGGAAGAAGGTGGGGGTGCAGAGCAAGCGAGAGTGCCCACTTCCCCTGGTGCAGAGCCAGGGGTTGGTGCTTGGCCAGACCAGCAGCACAGCGCAGGCTGGACGTCGGCCTCCTGCCTCGTCTGCCCTTACCTGGCTGAGACGCAGAGCAGGCCAGAGCCTTTCCAGCTGCAGGGTCTTCCCTGTGCAAGAACAGGTCTCTGCTGTCTGAACAGCCTGGTCGTCTGGGACTGAAGAGTTGGCCTCCAGGTGACCTGCGGATGTTGCCCTTCCAGCTCCTCTTCCTGGATCTGTGGCTTCCTCTGTGTCCTCCACGCCCACCCTGTTTGCAGTGTCCGCCTTCTGTTTTGAGGTCCAAGAGTCCAGCTGGGGAGATCGTGACTCACTCCCTGTGCCCCACAGGAACTGGGAGAGCAGCTGGCCCAGCCTCAGGGCACCTGGGCCCAGGGCCTCTTTCCTGGCTCCATGTGGAGCTGGGCTGTCCTCAGGCTAGAGGGACCTGGGGGCCTGGGAAAGTCTCCTTGTCCCAGAAATAGGTCCTTTTCCTCGCCCTGATTGATAACAGGTGCCACAGTGGGATTGACCCCCCCCTCCAACTTGACGAGCATTTCTGACCCGGAAGACTCAGCTCACGAGGGCGGTGGATGGCGGTGGCAAGGCTGGGAGCACTCTGGCTGCATGCCCTAATACAGCAAGGCCACGGCGGCCTCCCCTGGACGCCATGGCAGCTCCTTCCCCATGAGGGGCCAGTTCAAAGGGACAGAGGACCCACGGACGGCAGGACTCTGCTGGCATCATTCCAGAGCTCCGAGGTGCCAAGCACCTGCCGTGGTGGCCACCGTCCTAGCCACTCCCAGGAACCTGCCTCTCTGTACCCGCAGGTAGCCTGCTCGTCTTAACTCCCAGAGAAAAGCTCTGCTCACGAGGTCTTCAGCCTCGTGGCCTAGAACCTTCTCTGGACAGCATGGCTTCCTAGGGGACACGGGTGGCTCAGACAAAGGGGAGAAGATCTGCTGATCTGAGGATGGACTGAAGGGTGTCTGCAGGCAGGCACCTGCTATTCGATCTGATGCCCTTCCTGGGCCTGGCAGGGCCCAACAGAGCTGGGCATCACTGAGCCCACGGTCCTGTTGGCCGGGTACACTCTGGTCAGGACACCCAGCCTCAGTCCTCTGATTTTGCTCGGTCTGAGGACATGAGGGGCTCCTGGCTCCCAAACCCTGGCCATTTAGGGCTGCTTCCCTGAGCACAGGCCTGGCTCAGCCCTCACCCTTGGAGGGAAACCATGAGAGCACCACGGGCAGACCCTGCACCAGGTGTCGGCCACCACGCAGTAGACAGGAGATGCCGGCAGAGGTCCCGGGTGCTGGGAGCCTGGCTGAGCACTGGGCCACGCAGACAGGCCCTTGCCCTCAGGAGGCTTAAGGCAGCGGACCAGCACTCACATTTAAGCTGTAGTAAGTGCTCCAGACTGAGGGGGCTGGAAGGGAGCCTGGTCTGAATAAAGGGAGGTCCTTGAGGAAGTGCCATCTGCCCTGCGATCAAAGGCTGGGGAACACACGCAAGGGCCCTGCAGACCCACTCGCCCCTGTGCGCGGTGGAGACTGTCTGAGTATGCCAGCTCAGCTCCAATGGAATGCCGCAGCATTCTGGAGGCCAGAAGTCCGAGATCGCCTGGCCATTGGCCAGAGCTGTCCCAGCCCACTCAGTGCCCTCACAGGGCACTGCTCCCGCATGAGGGCCCGGCCTCTAACCCTAACCTACAGAGGCCCCAGCCCTCAGGCCATCATGTGGGGTGGGCTTCAACGTAGGAGTCGGGGGGCACAGCTCAGTCTCCAGCAGAAAGGAAAGGGAGGAGCAAGCATTCCAGGTCGAGACCCACACAGGCAAAGGCCCTGAGTCAGGATAGATGGGGAGCCCTGCATTCCGAGGGCAGCCAGAGTCAAGGCTGGAGTGGGGGGTAGTGCCCACTGACCGTGGGGAGAAGACAGGATACTGGCTACTCTCAGACCACTTGGCGTGAGAGCCACCGAGGCGGGGAGGATCACAGCGAGCACCACAGGATAACACGTCTGTCCCACACCCTTGTGGGTTACGGAGAGCGCATGAGAGGCCTGTCCCCCATCACTCTTCCTGGACCTGTCCACCCCTGAGCTCCTGGGATGCCCGGGCCACTCACATCCCACCCTGTGACCTGCAGCCTGCTTTAGGCTTCGGGAGCTGCTGCCTTAGAGCCCTGCTGGAGGAGCGTCTAGAAACTCACGTCCTCCGAGCATCAGCAGAGACAAAAGAAGGTTTAGCTCAAGTGAAGTGCTCACCCCCAGATCTGGGTGACTCAGCAGAGCAGCTGCAGGGAGGTGGGCGCCCTGTCCCAGAGGTTTGCTCAGGAACTGGCTCAGAGTGGGGCAGCAAACCTGATGAATGAATGAATGAAGACTGTGGGAATGCACACCTGAGTGGCTGGAACTGGAGGCACTCTAGGCTGTTCTGGAGGGCACTGGCCTGATCCCTTCCATAGGGGAGACGCAGTCGAATGAGCACAGGTACAGGGCCCGTGTCTGTCCTGGTTAGTCACCCGGTCCCTCGGAGCTGCCTGGAGTGCCTCGGGATTCCCTGTGCTGGGGCCGTGGTGTGGGGGGCCTGGCCGTTCCTGGAGGGTGACCTCTCTCATCTGCAGGATGGAGAACCTGTTCATCAACCGCTTCATGCACATGTTCCAGTCTTCCTGGAGCGACTTCGCCGACTTTGAGAAAATCTTCGTCAAAATCAGCAACACCATCTCCGGTGAGTAGAGGTAACACTGTCCAAGCAGAGGCTCGCCTGGCCATTGGCCAGAGCTGTCCCAGCCCACTCTGCCAGGGCCTCGCCTAGGCCAGCAGGCCCTCCTTGCCCTACGCGTGTGCCTCGCCGTGGTCATCTTCACACCCTGAGCCTTTGCCTTCTTGTACATTCAAGTTCAAACACTCTTGACTTCATTTCATCATCAAAAATCTGGAAACCCGGGACCAGCAATTAGCACAATGGCTATGTCGCTGGACTCCCATGTAATCAACTGTGGTTCGAATCCCGGGCTTAAACTCACGCCAGGAACGTGTGTGTGCATGCCCAAGACCCCAAGAGGAGAATGGAGGAGAAGGGATTGTGGCATGGCCATCCTCCCCGAGGGGTGATTTCTTGCTTTCTGCCTCTCTGTCTCTGTCTTTCTCCAAGGGTGAGTGCACGCACCCTATAGTAAAAACCTCTCCCTCCCTCCCCCAAAGAAAAGACAAGTCTCGAAACCCTCAGAGCCCGTTCTTTACATGCTTGCTTGTCAGTCGTGGAGATGTTTCCACAGAGTCAGGGCGGCACTCGGCTCGGTTCCGAGCACTGACGTGAGAGCAGCCCTAGACGCCTTTGGACTGGGGTGTGCTGGTCAGAGCGCAGGCATTGTGATGAACAGAAACAGCACAGAAGAACAAAACGGCCTCAGGAAGCGAGGGGACAGGAATGGTTGGGTGGAGCGGTGTCCCCAGGAGCCTCCTCCACTCCCCTTCTCTCTCCATGCTGGGCTGAGAGGCCTGAGTTCTTGGGGAGAGGTGCCTGGAAATCCTGTGTGCTACTAAGGGCCAGCTCAGGGAGGGCGAGGTGCTGGGCAGGTGGGCAGCACGTGGGCACGGCGGGTGGACCCTGTGGCTGTCCGGCATCAGTGGTCGCCTCGGAGGGGGTGCAGTGGGGACTCTGCTCTCAGACTGCATCAGGAAGGCCACGGCCTTGGCTGCCCTCTGCTCAGAGCTCCCTTTTCTTCACACAGAGCGGGTCATGAATCACTGGCAAGAAGACCTCATGTTCGGCTACCAGTTCCTGAACGGCTGCAACCCTGTGCTGATCCGGCGCTGCACCCAGCTGCCCGCGAAGCTCCCGGTGACCACAGAGATGGTGGAGTGCAGCCTGGAGCGGCAGCTCAGCTTGGAGCAAGAGGTCCAGGTAGGGTCTGCTTGCTGGGGAGTGGCCACGACCACACTCGCTCAGGTGGAAGCCACCGGCTGGCCAGGGCTTACGGGCTGCCAGGCTGTCATCTCCAGGCCCAGACCTCCTGGTGGCCAATGGCACAAGACCGGCCACCCTAGCTGCCTCAACTCTTCCTTTTCTGGCCAGCAGCCAAAGGGGGTCCTGGGCATTATGTAAGCTGCCTTGTCGGAGGGATCGACGGGGTGTTTCCCCTCGATGCTGGCATCTGGGAATGTAATCGATATTTTTAATATTAATATCAATTATTACAAAAGCCGGCCCTGGCTTGGGGGCCTGTGGTGGGCCAGGCACTGTAACCAGTGCTACACACACTGTCAATCAACCTTGCAAAAGTGAGGAGGCCAGAGAAGAAGGCTGGCTTTGCACCAGAACAAAAAAACAAGGAGTGCTGACAGAATTTCAGCCTTCAAACTAGAAGTGCAGGTGCCACTTGCTCCTGGCCCACCCTCTTCCACCACTCTCCCAGCCTTGCCTGCGGGCTCAGCTCCCTCCCACTGAAGTGTACTGGGTTCAAAGCACTTCCACCTGCATCTTCCATGTCAGGGACTGAGGCTCCATGGTCCACCGTACCCTGTGGGTCTGCCTCGTCCCACTGGAACCGGCATGGCTGTCCCGCCCACCACTCAGCCCCTGCGGCCTGCCCCCAGAGGGGCCTCCACAGCTTCCAGTCACCCCATCTTGCTTGCTCACCTCAGAGCCCCAGACAGAGAGGCATGGTCTGTACCACCTAGGGACAGACCTCCCAGACCAACACCCACCCACCTGGCTTTGCAGGCCCCCTATCCACTGAAGTTCCCTTTAGGGTCCCTGCACAGTGCAGCAGCCCTGTCCCCTCCTCAGGATACCACCGATTGGGTTGGCAAAGGATACTAACAACACATGCACACGCACACACATTTCTCTGCAGATTTCACTGCTAGATGGCATTACATTGACTGAATGGTTATAAGTTTCAAACTTCGAGTCAGAGAACCACAGAGCCTTAAGGCCAGAGAATCCCTGCCAGGTGTGCGACCCCTGCGCTCAGCCTTGGGCTCCTGGGCCCATGTGCAGTTGGCAGCGTGCTCTGATCCGCCAGGCCATGCACGCACATGGACACCTGAGATCTGGTGACCACTTCCGGTGTCTCCACCCTCACAGACCCCAAGCCCACCAATCAGGACCTTCACCCCTCTTGCCCTCACTTGCTTAAAATGATAGTTTTAGAATTTTTTTAAACATATATTTCTAGACAATAAAGAATTGTTTTTCAGTTTGACTTGTGAACTATGCGTGTATATATTTACATGTAAAAGTCAGATGTTGAAATAATTGAAATCATAAAAATGTTTTAAGAGCCACCCAACTTCATTCAAGTTGGTTTTCTTTGTAAGCCCAATACTCTACCTTTTATTCTATAACGGATAGTAATTTATATGCTTTAGAAATTTTTACGAAGGTGAATTTCAGTCCTTTTCTTATAATTATATATAAACGGAAACTCTTACATTTTTAAGCCACTTTTTATGTGTATAAAGTTATTAAGCATTTTCTTAGTGTTAGATGCTGCCTCACTCTACTCAGTGGTCAGTAAGTTCCATGTTCATTGTAATCAATATAAGCTAAATAATGCACACATTGTAGATACAGGGAAAGTCATCAGAAAGTTAGAGCGATTGTGGAAATAGGGCACAATAGAAATTGTGGGCTGACGTTTAGGTTGCAGACATCTGGTTTGTTCACTTAAAAATAAAGTTTTCTGAACAGAACTTAATATAGACTAGAAGCCAGCCTGACCAGTTATGCTCTGCGATCATACGCTGGTGGTTTTCATTAAGTTTTAAACCCCCCAAAACCTTCCAGATATTTTAGAGTTGTGCACTCATAAGGTGACATTACTCCATACTGGTAACAGTGTGCTGTCAACTTCCCTCTGCACTGACTGACAAAGGCATCATGTAAACTCTCAGGTCGGAGAATGGCCATTTCTAACCTCAGGTGGCTCTTCACCATGTCTTATGCTGGTACCCTAACTGTGGATATGTATCCCCAGCTGGGACAACTCAAAGTACAGATACAAATGTTTTAACTGTAGAATAATACTTGATATACTTTTTAAAAGTCTTCAACAGAAGTAAGTAACTCTTATTCCCAATCCTATAGCCTTTGGAACAAGGACCTGACTCGAATTGGTTAGTTTGGTAGATGGGGCAGAATATTTCCATTACTGAGAGCCAAATTCTACAAAATACACCTAAAACCTTCTGGTAATAAAATAAAATGTTTTACTACTACTATTCAAGTAAAAAACACATATATATATTCTTCAAAAAAAAAAAAAAAAAAAAAGGAGGACCTGGCCCCCTTTGGCTCTCCATTTAGGCGAGCAGGCACTGCCTCCGCACAGGCCCTAGGCCCTCAGTCCGGCTCCCTCTAGTGGACGTCAGGAGTCATCGAGAGTGGCTTGCGTTGTTTGCAGCTATGGAGAGGGTGCTGACCCACCTTGGCATCAGCCACAGCCCAGGACCGAACACTGGACCCTGCAGACTCTCCCTCACTCTGAGAGACACTCCATATAGACGCTTCTCCCTTCCTCCAGACCCCATTCCCATCCCTGTAGACCCTCCCTTACCCCTGCAGCTCCCCCCCCCCCAGCCCCTGCAGAACCTCCCTCTGCAGACAGCCCCTACCCCTCCCTATCTCTTCCTCCCAGGGGGATCTCCTCCTGGCTCTGACAGTGGCTGCTCTGCCCACTTCTGAGCTCCATGGGAATGACACCCTGCAGCGTCTCTTTTTGGTTCTGGACGTCGTGTCTATTTCATCCAAACACTGACGTCTTATTAAACGGCCACTCCACGGGGTCTTTCATGAGAGTCGTGTGGGTGTCAGGTGTGATGGATGCGGGATTGGTGCTGCCATTCCTTCCCCTTAGGGAAAACTCACCTGACCTGTGAATGCCTCTGAGCCGAGGACAGATTGACTAACTGCTGAACCCCACTGAGTCGGGGAGGGGGACCCCAAGGCCTCGCTCTCCCCCTCCGGGCCTGACTGGGGTCTGTCTGCTGAAACTGAGTGGCACCCTTTCCTGCCTCCTCCAGCAAGGGAACATCTTCATCGTGGACTTCGAGCTGCTGGACGGCATCGATGCCAACAAGACAGACCCCTGCACGCTCCAGTTCCTGGCCGCGCCCATCTGCCTGCTCTACAAGAACCTGGCCAACAAGATAGTGCCCATCGCCATCCAGGTGGGCTGCCCGCTCACCTCGTGTGGGCTCTCCCTCTGTGGTCCACACCATTGGGAGGAGGCGGATCTATGGGTCAGCAGGTGGCATAGTGGTTAAGGCGCTGGACTCCCACATGGTCAACCGTGGTTCAAGTCCCAAACCTGGTGGCTTCCTTCCTCTCTCTCTCTCTCATGGCACACATACCCTATAGCAAACTTAAAAATTAAAATAAAACAGGGCCAGCAGATGGCATAGCAGTTACATCACTGGACTTCCATATGACCAACCATGGTTCAAGTCCTAGACTCAGTGACTTGAAACTCACACCAGTGCATGTCCATGCATGCCCACGATCCTGGGAAGGGAATGGAGGAGAAGGGATTGTGGCATGCCCATCCACCCTGGGGGGTGATTTCTCACTTTCCCTCTCTCTGTCTCTGTTTCTCTCTGGCAAGCACATGCCCGTAAGATTAAAAAAAAAAAAAAAAGCTAAAAAAAATTTTAAAATAAAATAAAATAGTTTAAAAAATAATAAAAAGAAATCTAAAAATATTAGCAAAATGCATGCAACAGTGTAAGAAATTATTAATGTGTTATAACCAATAGAGTTTATTCCAGACATTTCAGTTTCAAAAGAGCTACCCACATGATTCATTATGACAGTAAGGACCGAGGGTATGATTATATTAACTGGCACTCAAAGGGAATTTAAGGACATTTAGTAGCCACAACTAATAAAAATTAAGGTAATAGAAGAAATACACTTACATGTGATCAAGATAGCAAATACCCTTCAAAAAAGCTCAACTCCATCAAAATCATAAATAAGAACCCCAATCTCACTATTGTTATTCAACATTCTTTCAGAAGTTTTACCACGTGTAATAAAACAGGAAAATAAAATAATCAATAAACATATTGTAAAAGAACAAGGAAGATTACTGGTAACGATATGATGGTGGACCTAGAACATATGACATTCCAGCTTCTTGGAAAGCTGCCTGAATGAATGAGATCGTTTAGTGAAGTGTCTAGATAAATGGGCCTCTCCAAGAGAAGGAAGACTGGGCAGGCCCTGAACACCAGCCCAGAAGGGCAGAGGGAGAAAGTGTGAGCCAAGGAGAAGCAGAAGTGCGAGGATCCCCACAGGGAGCCGGGCAGGAAGGTCAAGAGGGGAGATGGGGGGTGAGGGTCCCCCCAACCTCCACTGCATGCTGCTCGCAATGTGTCCGGGCTGCCTGTGCAGTTCCCGTGACCCATGGTGAGGTGAGGCCTGCCTGTCCCCATGTTATGCGTGACGAGGCAGAGCTCAGTATGACACACTGGAGCTCGGAAAGGCTTGGCACGGGGTCTAGGCCTGCAGGAGTTAGGCAGCCCGTGGGGCCGGGAGATATGAACCCAGGCCCTCCGCACCCCTCCTTGCACCTCTCATGATTCCAGTCACCACTTAAGACATGTGGGTTCTGCTGGGAGGTCCCGAGAGGACAGGTCTCCGAAAGTGCAGTCTGGCGTGGACTGTCACAGTGTGCTTTCTTTCTTCAACAAATCAGCTCAACCAAACCCCAGGAGATGAGAACCCCATCTTTCTCCCTTCGGATGCAAAATACGACTGGCTCTTGGCCAAGATCTGGGTGCGTTCCAGCGACTTCCACGTCCACCAGACCATCACCCACCTTCTGCGCACACACCTGGTGTCTGAGGTTTTTGGCATCGCCATGTACCGCCAGCTGCCTGCTGTGCACCCCATCTTCAAGGTACAACCAGCTGCAGCTGTGCCCCTGGTGTGGGGAGCACCTGGGCTATGGGAGGGGGGGCTGTGGAAGGACTGACAGCCCTGCAGGGGACTGTGGAGGAGAGCTGCTCGGGCAAGCATGGGGGAGTTGCTAATGCCCACCCAAGGAAGAGAACAGCCAGGGGCCTCTAGTTCCCCAGGACATGAGGCCGGGCCTGGGCAGGACACGGGGTCTGCGCAGTTGGGGAGTAGAGTCTGAGAAGGCAGATAAATTCCACGTGACCCTCAGCTGACACCAGTGGGTGCCCCCACTACCACTCTCCTTCCCTCTTCCAAATCCTACTGGCATCAGGTGCTGGGATGACTGCAGGCTAGCAAAACCTGTGTGCCTCAGCTCCCTCATCTGTAAGACAGCCTGAAACAGCACACCCGCACCCAGAGGGATGGTCAGGGTTGGGTGGGCCGTGAGTCCTGTGAGCTGAGGGCAGTGCCATGCACACAGGTCAGCACTGTGCACGCATCAAGTGCTCACCGTGTTCACCATGTTCAGCATCAAAGCTGCAGCTCCCAGGCCCCAGGGGACAAGCAGCCCTGCATGCTGGCTGGGGGTGGGGGTAGAGGGGGCCTGGCCGGGCCCTCCTGAGGCCTCCCCTCCCCACAGCTGCTGGTGGCTCATGTGCGCTTCACCATCGCCATCAACACCAAGGCCCGCGAGCAGCTCATCTGTGAGTACGGCCTCTTCGATAAGGTAGGTGCCCTCCTCCACATGGTGCCCCGAAGAGCCTCTCAGGAGGCCTCAACGTCAGTCAGAAGGCTAGACTTCTCAGGAGGCCAGGCTGGACCTGGGGTAGGAAGGGCGGAGGCTGGAGACTGTGCTCAGTGCACCAGCGGGCCGCCAAGTCCCCTTCCACCTGTGGCTGAGCACTCCTGGGAGCAGCACACCAGGGCTTCCTCTTGCCCTTGTCTCCCCGTCACCTCTTCTGGCTTCTCCTCTGCCAGCCTCTGAGACTGGGCGTAGACCCCTGCTGGCCTGTTGACCTCATAACACTAGGGCCTGTGGCTGCCTCCTACTGCCACAGCCCTGCCATCCTGCCCTGGACCTACCCAGCACTCTGAGCATAGCCTCCCAGCCTCCACCCTTCCAGGCCCTCAGAGCTCCCAGCCCACTCTCCCACGCAGAGCCTCGGGCCCTGCCTCACCCTCACGTCCCCCCAGGTAGTACCCTCCTTGACCTGAGCCCCCTGAAGCTTTACCAAGCCTGGACCCTCACATGGGCCCTGGCCCCACCCTTAGTGAGCAGACCACTGACCACAAAGGCCAAGGTGCTGTTTGGTTTGCAAATGACAAAACCCAGCTCAAGCCAGCAGGAGCTGGGCTGGACATGCATGATCTCCCCTACCAGGATGTCGCTGCGGGGGGCTCCCACAGTGCCAGGGCTCCTTGCACCCTGGTCCCACCCTCTTTCTCTGGTCAGCTCTGTGGCCCTCACACCCTGCTGCAGACAGGTTGGGGGCAGGGTCACAGTGAGCTCCGGGCTCCTGTCTCCACTAACCTCCGTCTCGCAGGCAGTGTCCAGATAGAAGGTGCTGGGAGCAGCTCTGCTTGATCCTATTCGGGTCAAATGACTGATCTCTGGTACCCTGGTGCCAAATCCTTAAAAATTCTGTGGCTCTGACTCTCAGCTACCCAGGAGAGAGAGAGTGTGTGTGAATGTGAGAGAGAGTGTGTGTGTGAGTGTGCGAGTCTGTGTGTGTGAGGGTGCGAGTGTGAGTGTGTGTCTGCACCTCAGCAGCTGAGCCGAGGGCCGGAATCCTCCCTGTGGGTCTCTCGAGCCCTCAGCTAAGCACCGACAAGTCCGCAGCAGAGCTGTGTGAGGCTGGGGGCCACAGGTCACTGAGAGCACCTCTGCTGTGCCCTAGGACAGGCCTGAGGGCTCTACCGGCCCAGGTCCTGCCAGTACTAGGGTTCCCCCCAGTACTGTCGGGCTGCACCCTCGGTGTTCCTGCAGCTATGCACAGCTGCCACTCGACCCCTTGCATGGCGGGCTGAGGCCTCTCCCTGTCACTCATCTTCCAGCCACCCTTGGCACTCTGAGTTCAGCACCTCCCACTCCCCGACACAGGACGGGACCTGGGTCTGCTTCCCTGCGTGCCTGCCGCCCACTGCCCTTCAGCAGAGGCTGGAGTCTGGTGGCGCAGGGCCGAGCTCTGGGGCGGTGGCTGGGGGGGGAGCTGGCCTCACTCATGGCTTCTTCTTCTACCCCAGGCCAATGCCACGGGGGGCGGCGGACATGTGCAGATGGTGCAGAGGGCCATGCAGGACCTGACCTACACCTCCCTGTGCTTTCCGGAGGCCATCAAGGCCCGGGGCATGGACAGCACCGAGGACATCCCCTACTACTTCTACCGGGACGACGGGCTCCTGGTGTGGGAGGCCATCAAGATGTGAGTGTCCGCTGGGGACTCCACGGTCGAGCACGGAGGGGCGGGGGTCTGGATGTTCAGGAGCGGGTGAGGGGTTGCCAAGGTGCCACAGGTGCAGACCCAGCTGCCTCCTGAGCCAGGTTCACGGCCGAGGTGATCAACATCTACTACGAGAATGACCAGGTGGTGGAAGAGGACCAGGAGCTGCAGGACTTTGTGAAAGATGTCTACGTGTACGGCATGCGGGGCAGGAAGGCCTCAGGTAGGGCCTCGTCTCTCCTGGAACTCTGGCTGTGCTGTCGCCTCAACTCTAAAGTCCCCAGGGTTTCCCTGCCCACAAGGGAGCTCATGGGTATCTCAGGCAACAGGTTCCTGAGATACATCAGGAAT